AATCAAGAAGGTAAGAGAGAAAATGTAGTAGGAGCTGGCCTAAGGAGGGGGTATGGAATAATTAGCACATGATTGGAAGTAGCAGTAGGGATTTGGGAAACTCAACCTATCCAATCCACTGAAAAGTGATGAGGTTTGGATGTGAATAAAGAGGGTATGGTAAGTTTGCAGATGACACCAAAACTGGAGGTGTAGTGGTCAGCGAAGAAGGTTACTTCAGCGTACAACAGAATCTTGATCACATGGGCCAATGGGCCGAGGAGTGGCAGATGGAGTTTAATTTAGATAAATGTGAGGTGCAGCACTTTGGAGAGGCAAATCAAGGCAGGTATTATACATTTAATGGTAAGGTCCTGATGATTGTTGCTAAACAAATAGACTGTGGGCTGCACATTCATAGTTCCTTAAAAATGGAGTGTCACAGATAGACTAGATAGTGAAGAAAGTGTTTGGTATGCTTGCCTTTATTGGTCAGTGCATTGAGTATAAGAGTTGGGAAGACATATTGCAGCTGCACAGGACATTGGTTAGGCTACAATTGGAATACTGCCTGCAATTCTGGTCTCCCTCGTCTAGGGAGGATGTTGCAAAACTGGAAAGGGTTCAGAAAAGGGTTGGAGGTGTTGAGTTATAGGGAGAGGCTGGAAAGGCAGGGGCTATTTTCCCTGAAGCATTGGAGGTTTATAAAATCATGAGGGTTATAGATATAGTGAATAGCCAAGGTCTTTTCCCCAGGGTAGTGGAGTCCAAAACTAGAGGGCATTGGTTTAAGAGGAGAGGGAAAAGATTTTAAAAGGGATTAAAGGGGCAACTATTTTTTACACAGAGGGTAGTGCATGTATGGAATAACCTGCCAAAAGAAGTGGAAGAAGCTGGTACAATTACAACATTTAAAAGGCATCTGGATGGGTACATGAATAGTAAAGGTTTAGAGGGATATGGGCCAAATGTTGGCAAATGGGACTAGATTAATTTAGGATATCTGGTCGGCATGGATGGATTGGACCAAAGGGTCTGTTTCTGTGCTGTATATCTCTATGACTGTATGACTATGACATTGGGGTAAGTCAATGAACTCAACAAGAAGAATGGAAAACCATACAGCAACATTTGGAACAGAATCCTGAATAAGATAGGCAGAAGCAAGAACAGGTCACAACTATCTCAGCAAAGTGAGGGGATGTCCCTCTGAGCAGAACTCTATGGATTCAGAAACAGACCAGATGTTAGAAACAGAAAAAAAAACACAATGCTAGAGGTGCAGAAGTCAGTAGAGAAATAGACTTTAGTCTGAGGGAAGATGGTTTGGTGTTCAAAACCCAAAGCAGACAATATCAAAAATTGGTAGAGAATCTAAATACAATTCTGAAGTTCAGCTCATTTCGGGACTGACACATAAAGCTGCATCAGGTTACCTTCACACCTGAAGTGACTGTGTAGCAGAGCAGAGTCATGTTTATGTCATCCAGCAGAGTGATATGGTCCTGGTAGAAAAGGAGTCCAGGAACCCAGGAAGTCACATTTGAGCAGAGTTCCAGCTGTTCAAAAAAAAGCATTAAAAAAAAAAAACAGAATGAGCAGCATTTGAATACTTCCATCTGTTTCTAGACACATTTTGGCTTCTTAATTGCCACTTAAAATGAGAATGTCATCAAAAGGGATGTAACAAAAGTGACCCCTTCTAAAGGGACACAAGCAAAATACTGCAAAAATACCAAAAAAAAACTATGCAGTAATTCAAAACATAGTCCCCTCTATTAGCAATGGATTCCAGTCCTTCAAGTCTCCATGGAACATTCAATGTCTATGTCAGATGTTTAAATCCCACCATTAATAAGTTATTAGAGTCACACCTGCTTTACACAATTTTGGAAAGCAGTAGTTGGAGGACAATCTCACTATTAGTGATGCCTTGAGAAGCTCAACAAGTCAGGTTCTCAGTCTGATGTACACACACACACACACACACACACACACACACACAGGACCATGCTGCAGCCTGGTTCTCAGTCTCTGAGACACACACACACAGAGGACCATGCTGCAGCCTGGTTCTCAGTCTCAGAGAGTCACACACACACACGACCATGCTGCAGCCTGGTTCTCGGTCTCTGAGACACACACACACACATTGGACTATGCTGCAGCCTGGTTCTTAGTCTCTGAGACACATAGACACACACACACAGAGGACTATGCTGCAGCCTGGTTCTTAATCTCTGAGACACACACACAGGACTATGCTGCAGCCTGGTTCTTAATCTCTGAGACACACACATAGGACTATGCTGCAGCCTGGTTCTCAGTCTCTGACACACACACACAC